AAATTCTACGCCTTACAATTGTTTTTAAGCATTTGCCTTGAGTATTTCTAAGTATTGATTTACGTGATGTATGTGTAGCATTTGATTCATGTTTGAGACTGCATGATTATGTAAGATGATATGTGTTTTGTTTGAGCTATGTTTTGAGGTGAATGTGTGTTATTTACCTTGAAGCTTTACGTTAATTATGAGTGATTGTTAAAGTTAAGAAATAAGTCCTTTTGTTTTAAGAAGTACTTCACATTCAAGAAGGTGAAATCGTTTTAAGTGTTTTTAGTCACTAGCGCCAGTCCGTTGCCATTTGAAATTTTCAAATAGAGCAGCAGTTATGCTCTTGAGATCTTTGAGATTGAGCAGCAGTTATGCTCTTGAGATATTTAAGTTGTGCAGCAGTTATGCTCTTGAGATTTTTAAGATGAGCAGCAGTTATGCTCTTGAGAATCGTGGAAGAAGAGCCTTCCACGATAAGTTTAAGTTTAAGAAAAGCCTTGATGGCTTCTCATACGTATGAGTTGGCAACTGGACTACCTAGTGAGGGATCCTCGTGTCAGTTAAGTATTTAAGTCGATATTTGAGCTTTAAGAATGGAGAGTAACAGTAACTCTCATACAGTTTTAAGAGTTAGGAGTTTTAAGAGTGGAAGTACAAACAACTCCCACCAGTATAAGTTAAGTATCTGAAGTAAAATACTCAAGTACTAGATTTTTAAAATGTAAGGACGTAGACTGACCCCAACTCACTCACCAGTTTGAAGAGGAAGGAGCTAGAGGAGCAGTTAGAGAGTTGCGAGATCGAGAGAAACCGTTCAACGGAAGCTAGCTAGAGGAGGACAGTACGGCGTCACAGAGGATGTCTAGTCAGAGTTTCACACAAGCAGCAACATTAAAGACTTTTTAGTTATAAGATTTTATGATTATGAGTATAGACTGGAGATCAGTTTGAGATTTTAAAGTTTGAGTTTCATTCGCCCACGTGTTGGGGCATTGCTTTAAACTACAAGAGTGTGTTTTTAGTATTTTATTTATGAAATTTTTTCCATTGCAGTTTAAGCTTTGAGTGTTTTAATTCTCAAGGGCATTTTAGTAAAAGTAGTGCTCGACCGAGCTAGGGTGTTACATGAACTATGATACTTTGTGCCATTTGTATCTTGATGATTTCGTTGACCGTTAGATATAACGGTTGACCAAACGGTTATGAAAACGACGTCAGAATAAGGCCAATGTGGAAGCCACATTGATGTCACATAATTTTGTAATACAAAATAAATTTAAGAAAAAATAAATTAAGTAAATAAATAAATTAAAAGCCATCTTCTTCACCCATCACGAGTTCTCCCCCCTCCCCCTCCACCGCCACCGGTTTAAATGCCACCACCCCCGCCGCCGATCCATTCCCCACCCACCACCACCACCTGCACCAGTTCACTCCCAGCCCGCCTCCGCTCTGGCTGATCTTCCTATTACCAACGCTCATCGCTGAGAGACGTCCGGGCTCTATGAAGCAAGACGAGAAGCACCAGAAGAATGAAGAGCAACCAATGGATCCCTAGGATAAGAGCCACCGCCTCTTTCTGATTGCCCTCCTCGAGCATTTCTGGGAAGCCATCTTCCGCCTCATGATGATCTTCGCTCTAGCTGCAATTCGGGATTTGTAATCTTAGTGATTAGAATTGGAAATTGATTTGAAGAGTTCCTACCGTTCCTTATCCTTTTTTTGTACAGGGAAATTGATTTGGAGTCTAAACTCATCCCACCTCCATCGTCGCCATTTTATAGAGGGTTCATGCTTCAAGGCAGGGAAAGAAGAGGGTAGCTTGATTGGGATACAGAGAAGGAAACCACAAAAATCACTAGCGCCGGTGGAAGTCGCAGAAGTGACAAAAGTAGACTTTTGATGTTGGGTTCGTGCGGGTGTGAGTGATGGTTAAAGAATAGTCGACTGTCAAGGGAGGGAGGGTGACCGGTGTGCCGTCGCTGAGACGAGATGGGAGAGGGAAGGGGAAAGAGGCCAAGATCTTTTCATTTTCATTTTAATTATTTTATCAGATAAAAATTGAATTTATAATTCCATGTCAAATGCCATTTCAATGCATATTGGATTTTCTGTTAAATACTAACGGTCAACGCTGATCAACACGAACGAAATAATAGTTTAAGACAGAAAATGGAATATTGAATAGTTTAGAATACAAGTTACATTTTTTCGATAATTTGAGTGTTGTAGTGGTATTTTCCCTAAGCACTATAACAAACAATGGATGATATGGAATTATGGATCTACAACTTCTTTAATGCCAACAAAAAAGTCACGGATCTTAAAAAAAATAATTGTGGAGAAATTTTGGCCATCGTTGTAGCTTATTGGAATTGGCTTTTTGTAGGGTGAAGGTGTTTAGGCCGACCTGGTTTCCTGTGCATAATCTCGACTTATGCTATAATACAAAACCTCGTTTACCATAATGGTAAAATGTGGTATGATGGTGGTACAATCTATTACCACATTATTATGATGTATTATATGTCTTACCATAAAGGAATGATCCTCAATCGCTTATTGCCCAGATTTATAAAGGCAAGTATTTCCCCCATGGATCTTTCCTGACTGCGACTGCGAGGTCGCGTCCCTCTTGGGGGTGGCAAAGTATCCTTCATGGGCGGCAGTTATTGGAGAGGGGATTAAGATGGCAAGTTGGAAATGCCCAGTCGGTCTCTCTCCTTCACTCTAACTGGATCCCCATGTACCAACTGGACCCCCCTTGCTATAATCCGTGGATTTTGCCTGAGGGGGGGGGGGGGGGGGGGGAGGATCCTTTGGTGGCTGAGCTAATTTGTCAAGGGGAAGGGAGGTGGTCTGATGAAAAACTCCTTAAGTGGTTTGACCCACCCACCTGTCGGGCTATCAAAACCATTCCTTTTCCTAGAAGGGATGTGGCGGACAAACTTATCTGGCATTTTACAGCTGATGGGGTGTTCTCGGTGAAGTCAGCTTATCATCTGGCTGTTGATCTGGATAGGAGGAGGGGCGGGTGGCGGTCATCTGTAAGCTGGATGGATAAACCCAGTTGGATAAGGGTGTGGGAAGCTAAGATCCCTCCGAAGTTGAAGGTCTTTGTTTGGCAATTCCTTAACCGGGCTCTTCCAACTATGGAGGCGCTTATTGAGAAAAAGGTTCAGTTTCTCCCTAGGTGCCCAGTTTGCTGGGATGGCCCAGAGACAATGGAACACCTCTTCCTTTCCTGCCCGGTTGCGCGGGCCCTCTGGGACTATTCAGGGCTGGAATATTTGGGGGAGGGATTGCCTCGGCATACTTTTCCTTTGTTTCTAAACCGGTTGTTGGCAATAATTCATCAATCGTCGGTGGTTATGGCTGTTGTTGCAATCCTTTGGCGGATTTGGCGATCCCGGAATTGGGTTGTCTTTGAGGGCAAACAATTTGGGTTCCCCGCTCTCATGAAACAGTTTCACCAACAATATGAGGAATGGGTGGGCCTCCCTGAGGATCGGATTCTGCCAACAAGTATCCCAGTGTTTCAACCTACAATGCAGGTGGGTGGTTCCCATTTGGTGTGCATGTGGGACGGGGCTACTAGGTGTGGATCAAATTCGGCTGGTGGGATGGTTCTCTTGGACCCCGAAAGGAGGATTCTGCTGGCTAGAGGGGTCCAGTTTTCTCATTTGGATGACCCAGGGTTGGTGGAATTGCTTGTACTTAGGGAAGCTATTGTTTGGTGTTTGGAGCAAGGCTTGTCGGAGGTCCGATTTGAGGGTGATGCGAAGGTGGTTATTGACAAAATTATTCAAGCTGATACGAGTGATAGCAGATTGGGTGCTGTTCTGGAAGAGATGGTTCATTACTTTCGTACTCACTCTGGTTTTAGTGTGCGGTTTGTAGGTCGGGAGAACAATAGGGTAGCTCATTTGGTAGCTAGGAAAGCCCTTTCTTTGTTTCCGACTATGAGTCATTTCTTTGATTTCCAGGCCTGGCTGGTTTCCAGGGTGTAACTATCCTTATTTATCAATATATGATATCTTTTGAAAAAAAAAAGATATGAGGTTCTGTAAGGTTATGTAGATCAAGATTTTGTACTTAATTCGTTCTCGCTTCGACCATCTTAGTAGGTTTTTCATGTTAATTTTTGAAAGTCTCGACTAGTTAGGAGAAAAGATTTGTAGATTTTCCACTCATTCTCGTTATATCCATTTTGATCGCTGCATTTTTGCCCTCCATCCAAAAATTCTCCGACCTTGCTTTTCAGGTTTACGCCGAGATGCGTCCATCCAATTTCTCAAACTGGGACTGACTCCGCCACTAAGGTTGGAGTTGATCTCATTTGGACAATTGGAGTCTAAATATCTATATTGTAAAAAATTCAAACATTCATACTCTTTAGATTGTTGATATTTTTGTATAATTTTTTTTTAGTAACATTAAAAAAATAGAAATTCTATCTTTTTATTGAATAAAATGTTTATCCTTAACCAAAAAATAATAGTGACTGAAAATATATTAAAATTTAATTGATAAATATATTTAGTGAATAGTTAAAAAAGAATAAAATAGGAGAATAAAGTCCCACAAATCAAAACATAGAATCTCTCTAGAGATTTAATATCTTTAAATTTTAGATATTTTAAATCTTTAAAATTCATAATATAGAAAGCCTAAAAAAATGTAACTACTAGCCTAAAAAAATGTAACTTTATGATAAATCTATAAGTTCATTCACTTTATGGGGTAAATCTTTTTCTCTTGGATGTGGCAAAATTCATGGAGAGAATGAGGGGATTTTGGGCTCAAAGCCTCTGTGGCTGTTCACCCTGCGCACCACGAACTGTCTTGCAGTTGCGCATGAGCTTGCCCATACGGAGACTGATTGGGGCCCAAGTGTTTTGTGGGTGGACAGTGGCCCATTGCACTTGTTTAGCTTTCGTCATCTAGATAATCTTAATGGCTTTTAGGGCCGAAAAACTTGATGAATACAAATCCAGGTTTCCTTGAAGGGCTCCGTTTGTTCTCTTCTTCTCCCCATCAAAAACCCTAGCAAAGAAGAAAAACTAATCAAAAGTCAAAACCGCCTTCTTCGTCCCCAATCTTCAGCTTTTAACTCCCGGAAAGGGAAGAAGCTGCAAGCCTACAACCTTTCACAATCTCCAGTTTCCTTTCCATCAGCCTTCTTCATCCCTCGCGCCCTTGCCGGTGAGAATCCATCATGGTGAAGAAGAGCAAGAGTAAGCGCGACCATATGTTGCACAACTTCATGATTCTATATTTTCTGTTCGAAAAAGCCTTGTAACTCCAACTTTCGTTATGTCAATTTCTTTTTGTCTTACTTGTAGAGAGTAAGAGTAAGAGGGTGACGCTGAAGAAGAAGCACAAGGTTATCAGGAAGGTGAAGGAGCATCATAAGAAGAAGGCCAAGGAAGCTAAGAAGTTGGCTCGTACTGGTAAGAAGAAGGTCGAGAAAGACCCGGGGATTCCCAATGATTGGCCCTTTAAGGAACAGGAGCTCAAGGCCCTTGAAGTTCGTCGTGCCCGTGCTATAGAGGAATTGGAACGGAAGAAAGCTGAGCGCAAGGAACGGGTAATATCATAAGCTCTTAGTTTAGGTGTACTGAATTTGCTGTTTTTCAGATGAAAGACTGAATATCTGTCAAGTGGATGTAATGATTTGTCACATTTTCAGTAATCTCTTATGAATAATGAAATACCCATGTTAATCGGCTGTGTACACGACTTTCAGGCTCGAAAGAGGAAATTGGGCATACTCGAGGAAGATGATACTGCTGTCATGGAACTTGCGGAGGTGGATAGGAAGCAGGTGGTTGAAGTCGCAAGAAACCGGGGTATGTTTGATATGTTGGAATGGCTTTTTGGGAAATGAATCAAGGGCAACAGAAATGTGTGAATGTGCAGTCTATACCCCCCATTTGCTGTGAACTGATTGGGATTTCTTTTTCTTCCACAGATAGTTCAGATAAAGTATTCTATAAGGAGTTGGTTAAAGTCATTGAAGTATCAGATGTCATTTTAGAAGTTCTTGATGCCAGAGATCCATTAGGCACCCGTTGTATTGATATGGAAAAGATGGTGATGAAATCAGGTCCCGAGAAGCATCTCGTATTGCTTCTGAATAAAATTGGTAAGCTTTTTTGAGTTTCCCTTTTCTTGTATAAGTATTAGCGCTTTTATGTTCTTCATTCCATAAAGACATTTGATTTTTCTGGTTTGCTGAGTTTACTGTTGCACTTGTTCCAGATCTTGTTCCGCGAGAAGCAGTCGAAAAATGGCTCAAGTACCTGAGGGAAGAGCTACCAGCAGTTGCCTTCAAGTGTAGTACTCAAGAGCAGAGGTCGAATTTGGGCTGGAAATCTTCCTCCAAGACAGCAAAACCAAACAATCTTCTGCAAACAAGTGATTGCCTTGGAGCTGACACTCTCATTAAGTTGCTGAAAAATTACTCTAGGAGTCATGATGTAAGAGCTTATTCATGTTTCTTAATATCTATCTTTCTATTTGAATGTGTTGGATCTTATAGCATGTTGTTCACTTACAAACTAGCTCGCATTGGTTTTAATGTGTAACCTTTTGCAGATCAAGAAATCCATAACAGTAGGTATTATTGGTCTACCTAATGTGGGTAAGAGCAGTCTCATTAACAGTCTGAAGAGAAGCCATGTTGCAAATGTTGGTGCCACCCCTGGATTGACAAGATCATTGCAAGAGGTTCAATTGGACAAGAATGTTAAATTGGTAGACTGTCCGGGTGTTGTCATGCTTAAATCTCAGGAAAATGACGCATCTATTGCCCTTCGAAATTGCAAACGAGTCGAAAAGTTAGATGATCCCGTCAGTCCAGGTAATTGGACCTTTGTATATGTTGATGTTGCTTTAAGGACTATAGTGCATCAAAATACTTTCCAACATTTTAGTTTGTGAAGCTTAAAATTCTTCAAAATGTGTGGTCTGATGTTTTCCTTTGACATAAATATATCCATGTAAAAGGTTGTGTTTCACTAAACCTCATCTGTTACACTTTTCTGTGTCACTGCTCATCATCTTGTATAATTGTAGGGTTACGGACATTTTGTTTTAAAAAGCGAAAACTAATGTGATTTATGAACTTTGAGGCATCAACAATTTCCCATTGTTTATTCCCCAAAATCATATGGTTGGGAGATACCAGTGCTAATGTTGTCAAATCAGGATCAAACATAGTGAATATAGAATTCAGTTTGTTGTTGGAATTGCTATTTACGTTTTATTATTTCCAATGCAGTGAAAGAAATTATCAAGCGCTGTCCAGAAAGGCTGCTGGTGACACTATACAAGATCCCAAGTTTTGATACAGTTGACGATTTCCTGCAAAACGTTGCTACAGTAAGAGGGCGGCTAAAAAAGGGTGGTATAGTTGACATTGAAGCTGCAGCTAGAATTGTCCTGCATGATTGGAATACTGGTATAAAGATGTGGAATAGTTGTTTCTACTTCATTTTCATGATATGATCAATATATAATGGCCTGTGATTTGGAGAATACTCTGAACTCTGCTTCAATTGAATAGTGACATACTTTTTTTGGTCACCAGGGAAGATTCCATATTATACCATGCCTCCAACCAGGAATCAGGAAGAAGCTTCAGAGGCAAAGATTGTTTCCGAGTTAGGCAAGGAGTTTAATATTGATGAAGCCTACAATGGTGAATCTTCATTTATTGGAAGTCTGAAGTCTGTTAATGACTTCCTTCCTGTTGAAGTTCCTTCAAGCAGCCCCCTCAATTTTGACGAGAGCATGTTAGAGGTTGGTGCTCTCAATACCCCGTTGGCAATTTTGGATTTCATAGTTTTCTTCACTTCCATGCAGTAACCTCTGAATTCATTGGAAACCTTACTTACAAAGGGATTTGTTTCAAAGCGTCTAACTCAGTCAAATATCCGTGCTCTGAAAGTTAAATTCCCTAAAATATATATAGAAACTGAATGATCTTGGTTGGAAATAGTTAGTTTAGTTAGGAGCTTAGAACAAAGAGCCTTCAAATGTATCAATAATTTCAATATGAGAATCCACATCAGGCATTGATTGTGACCTTTTCATGGCATATCAGGAAAACCTCGAACCTGAAGCATCAGGTAGAGCTGAAGAACGCTCTGACAAAATGATGGAAGGTGAAGATGACGAAGATATGGGTACCGATGCTGGAGATGCCAGCAAGGTGATTAACTCAAAGAACGCAACCTCCAGACAAAACGAGAAGCTGTATGCCGTAGAACGCATGGTGAACAACAAGATGAAAAAAGCCGAGAAGAAACGGAGGAAAAAATCTACCAAAGTGGATGCCATGGATGCCGACAATGATGACTATGACTTTAAAGTTGATTATAAGAAGGGTTCAGCCATGGATGCCGATGGAGAAGACGAGGACGATGATGGCCACCAGATAATAGGAAAGGTGCCGATGGCTGATGTTCAGTTTCCGGATGATGAGTGATCGTTTTGAAGGAGATATCCTGAGCCCCTCCTTTTTGATTTGTTTTTGGATGGAAAGCACGGCGGGTTTGGCAATCAATGAATGCCTACAGTTTTGAGCGTATCTAAACCAGCAGACTGCCTTTTTCAGTTCCATATTTGTAATATGTACGAATGCAGCCGGCCGACCAATCGATTTGTCATTGCTTTTTCAGCTACCGATCTAATCAAGAAGAGAGATTTGGTTTGGATATATTTTATTTCATATGAAATGAGACTGTGAATGAAGAAGTTACAAACATGGTAGTAACACAACGCAACCGAAGTAATACAATCGAACCGAACTACTATATAATTGGAAAGGGAAAATTGTAGGAGGAAAAACGTTTAAATAGATGACGATGGGGCCGCGGCTGACTGAAGATGTAATCCAGGGAAAAAGGTTCATTCCCCGGTCAACACCTCCACCTCTAAAGTTTGGGGTTCACCATCATCAGTTGATGCCTCAACTACTGAAGTAGTCTGTGCAGCTTCTTGCTTGGCCTTCTTGGCTCTCCCAATCACATCTTCCTGCCACAAGAAAATATAACAAGGGAAGAAGAATGTTTGCTTAGTCAAATCCTGCTGTTAAGTTAAAACGGGAGGGACTGGAAACGAGAGAGTGAGCGGGAAGCAAGAAGAGGGAGAGAGAGAGAGAGACAGTGAGGTCGTGGGCGTTACCTGGAAGCCTTGTATTTGCTTTTGCTGCTCAGATTGAAGCTTGCCAATAGTACTCATAATCTCGCCGACGGCGGATTCAACCCGCTCGTTCAGCACTTCCGCTAGAGCCTTCCCCAAGAAGAAGGCATCCAGTACACTCTTGCTCTCCTTCTCCTCTGCATATCAAATCATTTGCTACCAAAACCTTAGATTTCACCGCCCAAACAAAACAACCCAAAATTCTCCAGTCTACCCGATTCGGAATTCAACAAAACTTAAAGGAAACCCAGACGAAAATTGAACATCTAAGGAAGAAAATGAAGTGAGAAAATATAGATATTCTCTGGTTGTACCAGAACCGGGGTCGGTGCCGCTGCTGCATCTCAAGCTGGTTCCGCGGCGCGCTCCGGCGGAACTCAGGGCCAGCTGGGTATTGCGTTTAGTGAGCTTGAAGGTGGCGATGGCTGGTTTGGGCAGGGAGCTGGTGGATTGAGGAAGAAAGGCGCTAAGTATTTGCGGGGAAGCTGTAACCCCACTCATTCTCTCCCTCTGGTTTTCCTTGTTACTGCCTCCTGAATTGGTCTTCTGTCGTGGCTTGTCGCCATTTTTCGTTCTTGCCTGCTATTTATATTACTAATAAATTGCTGTATGTTTGGGGCAAAATTGGCAGCAGCTACCGGACTCTTCTGGCTGACAACTGGGCTTCGGCTGTTGCCCAATTGCCGGATCCGACCCGGTTTCTGTTTGCTATTGCATTTGCATACCTAGGTTTTGGCTTCTCCTCACTTTCCCAATTTCGAATTCTGGATGGACAAATTATAAAACAAATCCATGAACAGACTCTGATGGGTACGCGTGGACTATTATTCATCGAGCGGAGGGTACCAATTTATTTCCTACAAAATTCTACAAATTTCAGATTGTGAGCTGTCCATTAATTTTAATTTTAATAAATGGTTCACAACCAATGTTGAAAACCGGATCGATCCCCCGGGTTAACCTAAACTCGGTGTAAAATTTGTCCGGATTTGTCAAACCCGTTTCAACACAATCAAAATCCCGCAAAACCAGATTCAACCCGGTCAAAGCCTAACAAAACTGGCTTCTACCATTTGGAGTAAAAACACAAGTGATGGGTTCCAACTCTTCTAATTACGAGTTCTATGTATATTCATCAGGTTGTTTCAGTTCATTCAAAGTGTCAATCACAAATTTATATGTTGGATTTAAGTATGTTTGAATTTTTACTATATGTTGGATTCAAGTACGAACCATTATTTTGGTGTAATGTTATATATTATTACTCATATGTTAGATGAGTTTTGATATAATTTATATATGCATGAACAATGTAATAAATTTTTTCATATGTTGCTAAATCGTGCTAAACTAGGCTAGACCGATTGGATCATTAACCCACTTATCATATGTGATTTGATATAATTTATATATGTAACAATGTAACATATTTACAAATGTCCTCATTTATACACTTTTTACCCCCGGTTTGCTTAGTCGTTTGAAGCATTTTTACTCCGGGAGGTTTGGTTTTACGCCGGATTGTGGCTTGTTTTGGTGTTTTTCAGACTTTGGCAGGTGGAACCAACCCCAGAGTCGAAAGTTTGACGAAAGGTCGAAAGATCAAGTCAAACGGTGGAAACAACAGCAGTTCATAGGTTGGCCGGTGAGTTCACGGTCACTAAGACCGTGAACTGGAGGCGATCCCTGCGAACTGCCAAGCATCCAGAGCACAAACCGTGAACTTAGACCATTGCTCGTGAAATGGGATAAGTGATGCGGCGCATTTCATCATTGGTTCGCGGTCTGGGCTTTCAGTTCTCGGCTGTGAACTTAGCCCAATCTGGGTATATAAAGGAGGTTGAGCCAAAGGAGAAAGAGGAGAGACCTAGTGCGAGAAACTTTTTCTTCTTCAGATTTCTAGAGTGAGAAAGTGACGAACCAAAGAAGAGGAAAATCTAGGGTTTCATCTTCAAGCAAGGAATTGGGAGTTCCTCCCCCAAAGGAGGTTCTCTTCAACACAAGTAGCAAGGCTAGCATCTCTTCGATGGTTTCCCTTCTTCTCTCTTGTGTTTTCCCTTCTCCTAGCATGGAGTAGTCCCTTCTTTCACTTGTGTGTTTGTAAACCCTAGCTACAATTATGTGAATGTGGAGGTATTATTCATGAATGATTGTGTTGTGTGAAAGCCTATCAATCTAATTGCCATTCTATCCTAGGTAGAGAGAAAACCCCCTTCCTTTCTTTGAAAGAGGCTTGAATGTTGGATTTTGTTACGCAATTCATTGTCTCCTAGTTAGGTCAATGCAGGGCAAACCTCTTATTTCGTATTAGCACCTACGGTTTGGTTGTGGGTGGCCGTCCGAATTCCAATTCGAGGGTGAAGTCTAACCAATCCTTAGTCAATAGGTCGAGAGAGTCACGTTGGTGGCTTGGATCATATCCCCTTTCCTCGACCTAGAGACTAAGAGAGTGGCGCTTGGCTACTTGTTACACTTACCTACGGTTTACAACCCCCTCACCACACACGCCCATTGGATCCGACAAGTCGTATTTGCTAGCTAGAGGGAGCAACACCCGGGTGAAGCCTTCTTAATTAGTGTCAAATCCATTTATCTTTGCAAGCACTTTACCTTTATATTGTTGTTTTCACCAAAAACCAACCGCTAGATAATGTTACAAACAATCGAAGTAGGGGTACATGCACCGGCCCGGGTTGATATTTAAACATACTTGTCATGTACTACACCCGGTTAAGGTTTATACTCGGGCCTTAATCGGGAGTTCTTAAGTGGTGCATTCGAGTTGAGTCAAGTTTTTGGCGCCGTTGTCAGGGGACTCAACGGTTCATTACTTTGAAAATATTGTTTGGTGTTAATCTAGCTTTTACTTTTCGCTTCAAGTTTTTGAATCCTGCTTGTGCTAGACGTGTTGTGGTTCTTTTGAGTGTGTGTAGGGAGGTGTATGACCTGGAGTAATCCTACACCTTTGGCGCCACTAGACGAGGCTCTCAACCATACACTCAGACACTTGGCTCGTGAGAGGGAACTAGCAAAGGCAAGAAGGAGGATAAAAGAGGAAGTTGTAGTTGAGGAAGGGGTTGATTCCGAAGAGGAAGGAAGTGAAGCCGAGATGGCGGCTAATCAACCAGCTCAAGGAGCGGTCGCGGAGGAGCAACCGAGGACCATGGGCTATTACATGGCTCCAAGGCCGGCGGATATTCAACCCGACATTCAACATCCACTCGTGGCTGCCAACCATTTTGAGATCAAGCCCTCCCTTGTCACCATTATTCAAAACAATGCCCTATTCCATGGGCTTAGCAACAAGTCTCCAAGGGAGCATGTTTAGAAGATCAATGGTGTCCCCGAGGATGCTTTGAAGTTGAGGCTATTCCCCTACTCTCTTCAGGGAATGCATCTCGGTGGCTCAACAATAAGTCGGCTCTCTCGATCACTTTGTGGGTGATATGCTCAACAAGTTTATGACTCGGTATTACCCAGCTTCAAAGACGGCGTCATTTTGAGCAAGAGGAAGATGAGACATTGAGGGATGCTTGGGAAAGGTACTGCGATTACTTCCTCCAATGCCCACATCATGGATTTGAGGAGCAATTTTGGATTGAGACCTTCTATGGCGGTCTCCACCAAGACGACAAGATCCTCATCGACTCCTTATGTCAAGGGAAATTGATGAACATGACTCCACCACAAGTTACCGAGTTGCTCGAAGACATGACAAGTAAAGGGTATGATTGGTGCTTGACAAGAAGTGGAAAGAGAAGTACCGCAAAGGGAGTGCAAAGTGTAGGAGCGAGTCCCCCGCTTGAAGCCAAGATCGATCGTTTGATTGAGACACTCCTAGAGGACAAGAAGCATGGGAAGAGACCAGTAATGGCGTGTGATTGGTGTTCAAGTACCAACCACGAGATTTTGGATTTTCAAATGATGAAGGAATCCAACACACCCGAGGATCAAGTGAGTTTCATTGCCAATGCTAGGGGGAACAACTCCTACAACAACACTTACAACCCGAGGTGGTGAAATCATCCGAATTTCTCTTGGTCTTCTCTGACCAATCCAAGACCTTCCGGTTTCCAAGGACCAACGGGAAATTATCAACCAAGGCCTATGTTCATTCAACGAAGGCCACAATTCCAAGGCTCTAACTTCCAACAATCGTTTCAAGCTCAAGGAGGTCAAGGGTTCCAACAACCCAATAAGTTTGCAAAACTTGAAGACCTTGTGACCACCTTTGTGAGCACGAGCACTCAAAAGTTCGAGAATATTGAGCAATTTATGGATGTAGCAACAACAAAGTTTACCTCGGTTGAGGCGGGATATAGGAGCCATCAAGCAAGCCTTCAAAACTTGGAGCTGCAAATTGGAAATCTTGTTGGGATCCTCACCAAGAGGCCAAGGGGAGCCCTACCCTCTCAAACCATTGTTAACTCCAAAGACCAAAATGTCGGGTGCAATGCAATTCTTTTGAGTAGTGGGAAGGTTACCCCAGAGGTTGTTCCTAAGAAAGTGAACGGAGAAGAGAATACCCCTCCATTGGCCAAAGATCCCGAAGAAGTGGGAGAAAAGGATGAAGAACCTAAGAAGGCATTGCCGACGCCACCACAAGTGGCTGAGTACAATCATCCTCTTCCTTTCCCCACAAGGATGCACAAGGACTGATTGGAGGCAGAGTGTGGAGGATTCATGGAGATGCTTAGGAAACTCTGCATCACCATTTCATTCTTGGAGTCCATGGTGCATATGTCGAGGTACGCCAAATACCTCAAGGGGCTTCTTGCCAAGAAGCCGAAATATGAAGACCTCGCCAATGTCACCTTGGTCAAGGAGTGCTCCGCCTTTATCCTCAACAAGTTGCCTAAAAAGCAACCGGATCCAGGTAGTTTCACTATCCCCTTTTGCATTGGAAATCATCATATAGAAAACTCATTGGCGGACTTAGGAGCAAGTAGAGGTGGGCAACCGTTTTGGTAAACCCGAATCGAACCCGAATTAAAACGAACCAAAAGCAAATTAATGCTTTTCGGTTCGCAATTCCGAAGGAAAATATGGATAGTTTGGAAATCATGGTTCTTTCAACCGAACCGAATTTCCGACCGAAAAACCAAAATACCAAAATTGCAAGCTCCATTTGTAGTTAATTTTAGACTTAAATATTTGAAATGTTTTATGACTTATGTGTTGAAAGTTTGATTTTATCATTGATGATGCATATAATTGCATATTTATTGTTTATATTAGGGGTGAAAAATAATTTAAAAGTGAGAAGATACAAGTAGATTCACAAATTTGGTTTTGTGTGAAAAAACGAACCGAACTATATTTCGGTTTAAACCGACCTAACCGAATTATAATTTGGTTTGAGGTTTGGGAGAATTCGGGGACCCAGTATTCATAATTTCGGTTCGGTTGACCGAATGCCCATCCCTAGGAGCAAGCATTGATGCCTTACAAGCTTTTTAAGAAGTTGCATTTGGGTGAGTTGAAGCCCACTAGGCTTAGTGTCACATTGGCCGATCGCTCTGTCATTAGTCCTAGGGGTATTGTGGAGGACGTCCTAGT